AGGGAGGATGACACTTAGACAGGCCAATGACCCCCAGGCCTGAGGAGCATCCTTTGAAATCGACGAATCACACGACGCCTTGCTGGTATGTTAGCCTGATTGACAGGGCACACTCAGCAAGGGGTGAGGGGGAAGGGAGAAGGGATAGGTACACATGGGAAGGGCCCCGGAAGTTTAAAACCGGACATTGCAACACACCACAAGAAATATGCCTGTGGAGATATGAGATCTAGTGGCAGTATTTCAAGCACATAGACAATAAAATACTTGCCTCTTTATTAAAATACTTTTTCTTGAAACACAGGAAATAAATTTAATCCTGCTTTGAGTTTTCTGATAAAATTTCATGGCAGTGTAAATGGAAATTAGTCCTCAGTTGGATTTTCCCGCATCTTCAAAGCCAAACCAGACTGTTGTGAGTATTCCTCCTTTGTGGCCTGAAAGAATGAAGAAAATGTGTACAAGCTTAATTTCTAATGTGTTTCAACTTAATCTTATAACAACAAGATTGGTGGAAGAGAAGCAGGTACTGTGTTGGAGTAAGGAGAACAAGTCTCTAGACTTTTCATTGTAATGGATATATATTTGAATTTACTTTTTTTTGCCTTACTTTATTTTGTTTTAATTTGCTTGTATTTAGGACCATATTTTCTTCCATAGAGCACACTGCGAAGAAAGGATTCAGGGCTCTCTGTAGAGTGTTGGTGTTATAATGGTTAATGTGCCTCAGCAGAGAAGTATATCAAGACAGTTGTCTGAAACCAGGCTTTGCTGGGTTTTATTTATGTATATGTGTGTTTCAGAGGTGTTTTACTCAGCTATGTACACTTAGTAAGTCAGGGAACCTGAGCCAGCTCAGATAATTTGTGAGAATGGGGCGTATACAGTTATCAGAAAGAATTTTACTAACTTAGCAACGACCACTAAAATTGAAGAGGTGACCATTCCAGTCTGTACTTTTCTGCCCAGAATTAGAGCCTTCAGACTGACTTCAGCTCATGCAGTATTGAAAGCATGCTGGGCTAAACGTCTTCAGTTTGAAATCAGTCAGGATAGTTAATTTTTTTAGGGATTTTTCTAGTTTCTTTTGTTTTTGGTTTTGTTTTCTTTTCATGACACACTGTCCTATCTTTTGTGCTCTTTGTAACTTTTTTCCCCCCAAAGTGAATTGGACTCTTCTACTAAGGGACTCTCAGTTAGCAGTTTTTCAAACCTATCTTAGTAGAAGGTTCTCAGTAGACTGAATTCAAAACACAGAAGAAGCACTTAGCAGTCATAGTTTACAGGTTAACTGTGCACAGTAATGGGATGTGTTAAGGGTTGGTCCCTCAGTTTTGCTGTTGAAGTTGGCCAGCTTGGTTGCGTCCTGCAGTGGCTGCCTTGCTGTGTTTCCTTGCCTCTCAGATCTTGTGCTTTGGAGCCTTTCACCTGCGGGATGTACTCTGCTTTCTCCTGCGCTCTTGGGGGCCTGGTTTGATGTTCAGCAGTAGAACGTGTAACGATTTCATCATTCGTGTATCTGCTCAGCCAGTTCTTTAACGCTTAAAAGTGGCTGAATAGTGACTCAATAGATTGCCTTGCATTGCAGGTAAATAATTGTGTTTGAGTCACTAGTGGGTTCTATGACTGTGTTTTGTTTTCATCCCCATGGGCACTGCAGTTACTGGGGAGTGACACGAACCTTATTTTGGCTGACATATATTCAACAGTTTGCTTCCAGAAATCCCATAGTACCTTATTTTTCTTGTGGAATAAGTGTAAAAGAGGCATATGTAAGGATGATCCAATCTGATTTGATGTTTTATCTTCGAGTCATCTAAATTAGTAACAGAACAGTAGAAGTTGATAGAGAAAAGGCTGAAGGTTAACTAACAAACAGCAGTAACTAAGCTGATTCCCTGTTTCCATCCATGGCAAACTCCACCAGTCCCTACATAGTGGTCCTTATATATCCAAGACATAGGTGAAATTGTGTGTCATTGTCCTCCCCTCATCAGCAGTCATCAGCAACTGCCGGTGAGGGGAAGAGGGCAGTGTCAGAACACTGCAGCCTAAGCTTAGTGCCTAAGTACTTCCTACACTTGGTAGGGAAGAGCTTTCTTGTGGTCCATGAGACTTGTTATTTTCCATAGTCTGAACTTCTGCATTTCAGATTGTCTTTTGATGGATGTTAGCCAAGATTCCCACGGTTGCTAGTCACCATCTTGTGGCTGGTGTCCCTCTGGCTCAGTAGGCCAGCGTGTCAAAGTAGCAGAAATTTCCTTGTAGGTAACAGCGGAGTTTGGTTTTTTGTATTAGAGCTCACTGACTGGAACTCTGTGTTAACTTTCAGTCAGGCTTCCCTTGCCCCAGTAAATCTACATCCAGCTGATTGGGTATCCATGTGACCATATGGGCTTTTATTGGCCTCAAAACTGTTTTCTTCTATTTCGCTGCTGAATCTAGAGTCTTGTGGGCTCAGAAGTCTTCTGGGAGTCACCTTCATTAATTTATTTTAAAGATCTTTTGAGCAAAGACAAAATTCTCAGAAGTAGGGAGAGTTGAAGGGAAATGTAGGAGCACTATGCTTACCAACTCTAACTATGAAATCAGTGAGACTTGAACGGGTCTTTAGAATGTTTTTTGCTTTGTTATTTCAGAACGGAGCCAAAAATCATCTCAGTATTTGCTTTTGCAGTAGTGTAGGACAGGAAGCTCATTTAAAGAGAGAAGCAGAAAGGTCTTTACTGCCTGTGGAAAGAGAAGAAAGATTTATATGCTCTGAGAAAGTATGTAATAGAAGATTTATTTGATTAAAAAGTCCAGTAGTAATTGTTCATTTGCATTAACATAGTATCTCTCACAAGCTGTCACTTTCTGCAGTTCAGCACAAAAATTTCCTGTAGCTTTCTCTTTTTACAGGGAAAGCTAACTTGTCCTTGTTCCAAATATTCAACCTTTCAAAGTAAGTTCCTATTAATCATAAGACTATTTCTCTAAAGAAACAATTTAGCTGTGCAATAGCAGTTACAAGATGTTTAAGTTGAATTTGTAAAGCAAGTTCTGTTTTTCCATTGGCATTTAACAGCAAACTTGAGTTGGCCCTGTAATCCATAGTGGAGGTACTGCAAAACAGAAATTACAGGAGCATACGCAATAAAGGCTGAGTAACAAATTTGAAAGTAAGAAATATAATGTAGTTAATCTTGCTGGGTTGTTTTCTTCTTTCAGTTTGTTTATTTTCACGTTCACAGATCTGCTGTAGTTTGCTGCCATTTATTTCTAACAACTCATCTGCTTGAAGAGATTCCATTGTAATGTATCCAGTGGCTGTTCCTGCACCAGGAGGTGAAGGAAGTAATGGACAACACGGGAAACTTATTTTTTTCCTTTTTGTTTTTGGAGCTGGGTTGCTCTGTGCTGGATTCTTTCTTTCAGTCTTTGTTCTCCAGTCATGTTCATCTGGAAGACTCAGAGACTGTAATGTGGTCCTTAAGGCTGCTGGGCCAGGGCTGGCTCTGACTGGACTGGCTTGTGTTTTACTGGCACGATCAAGGGCCAGGATGTATATAAGTCAAAGACAATTGCAAAATGAGCAGGTGTACAGCCTTGTTTTTTGTCGTGGGAACTGTCAGTTTGCCCAGTTTCTCATATTTGGATTCCTGTTTTTAACTAGTGGAATGTTAATTAGCATCCTGGGCATTTGGTTTCCTGGTTGCAGCCCTCACTGGCATATGATACAGCTCAACCACACTGGCACTTCTGACACACACCTCCAGGGCTGTGGATTCCTGTCACTTCAAGTCTTGGGACCTTTGATTGTGCTCATTGGGTTGTCTTTCTTCGTGACAGCTCATGTTAAAAAGAAGCAAAACTTATATCTCAACCAAGAATCCTGTGAAAGGGAACAACATCCTCAGAGCCCTGAATCTTTTCAGGTTACATTAGGTGAGTAAAAAACTGAGTTGGAACTTTACACTGGGAATTAGGTGGGGTTTTTTTCCACTAATAATTTATGGCTAGATATTACTTATTTATTATTATTGCTTACTTAGTATGAACTTCCAGCATGTCAGTTCTGCCATGTCAGGACAGACGAATAATGTTACTTTCTCTCATATGCTTTCTGTATGGTCAGTTCAGTTACCTTTCTCAAAAAGGCAGAAAATTTCTCTTTGGCATAAAAAGTAAGGTCTGACTGTGTAAAGCAACATAACCTGACACAAATAAGAACCCAAATTCTCTTCTCAAACTGTGTAATTGACATTGCAGATCAGACTTCTGTGACTATATTTAAGATCTATTTTAGCATTCGACTGAGGCCCCTTAAACAGAAGATTCTGATTCGTAACCAGTGTCCTGTGTTTTTTAAGTTGTGGCCATATCATCAGTCAGTAAGAGATATAATCATGAGTTTAAACTCTTCAATTACGGAGTGGAATTTTTTTTGCTGTACAATATATTGATGTAGCAAACTGTGTATCAATAGTTGTGCTTAGCATGCCTTGAGCTACAAGTAACTTAGTAAGGAAACTGTCACAGCACAAAAAAATCAGTTCTCAGAGCCATTAATGACTTCTGTTACAGCATTGCTGTACTTATGGAGAAATTTAGAATTACTTATTTTATTTTTGGGAGGGAAACAAAATACTTTCCAGTCCTTAAAATGTTTCAACGGTAACTGTGTGCTTTGCACTTTGGCTTCTTGTAGGCAGCCAACCATATTTGTGTTTTTTAGCTTCCCCTTGTCTGCTATATTGTCTGAATTAAAACCTTCAGTTATAAATATGCTGCATCTTTATTTTTACATTTAGAATGTATCTTATTTTGGGATTATTTAGAATGTACCTCCAACCTACTCCAACAGACTAAAATGTATCAATTCTGTATGTGGGATAATTTGTCTTAAAGGCTAGGCAAGTAAAAGTTATAGGATGCTGTTAATATAACGAGAGGTGCTCAGTTCTTCAGAGGTAGTAAATGGTGTTCTTTCCCCTAGGTGATGCTGTGATGGTATTCCCACCCCCACCACCTCCTTATTTTGCTGACCCTATGTCACCAACTCTGACTCATTGTCTTACGCCGAGTGTTTTGCCTACAAGTGAAGATCCACCACCATACCACTCTATCTTCACTGATGGGTAAGACCATTAATCTCTGACTTTAGGAATCTGAGGTATCCAAGAATTCTTTAGGTATCCAAGACCCTGTTCTTACATAATTACTGTGAATTAACTACTAGGCATGACAAAGTTTTCTAGTGCATAACTCAACTTACTTCAGATACTTTACTTGAATTGGCATTTAAATACTGTTGTGTACTAGGGGAGCTACACTTGCAGAGTGTCCTTTATGAGGATTAAATTATTATTATTATGACTGGAAAGAACTTCTGAAGTTCTTAAATCAATGCCCCACAGTAGATTTCTTCCACAGATTGTCCAAGAGGGTATGCCATTGACAGCAGTGTGATAGTGATGTGATATGCTTATTGCCAGATTTTAGGAGCCTCTGTGGAAACAGAGCTGCAAGTATTTTGTGACACATACCCACAGACCCTGGGGACATTGCTTTGTCTGCCAATGTGTTCAGTTCTCCCATGTCCCTTATCTCTGCCTTGAGGAAGTGAGGCCTTGGGGTACTGATTACCTTCTTCATGCTGTGGCCATGTGTTGAGATTAAAGGATTCCTTGATATCACAGAAAGCTCCAGCATGCTGATAAGGGAGGCTGCAAAGCTAGTTTCATTTAAAGATGTTGTACCTTACCCTTGCAGGCATTCCTTACATATGTGGATTATAACAGAATTGCCTGATAGTGACACCACCAGGCTCAGGGAGCAGGAGCTGCCAACTTATCAAAGACTTGTCTGTGCCACAGGAACTTGCAGGGTTATTTTTCCCCTCTGGGTTGCCACCACTATGCTGGTAACTTGAGGGTAAAAGATGTCACTGCAAGGGCCACATACTAGAAGTCAGAGCTAGGTGTCACATGTCTAGAGTCCCTAACTTATTTTCACGCCGTTAATGATTCAGAAATTACTTGAATTAATATCTTTAGAATGGTCTTACATCAGCCTGGGTTTCAGCTGTAAATTATGTGGGACTGTCATTTAATGACTTTAATTCACAAGACTCTGTGTGCAACATGGTGTCACTGGAAACTGGGAAATAAACTCTGCGACCAATTTGTTAGGTTACAAAGCCAGCTCAGTTTATTAGCAGTGCTGGAGGCATGGGTAGTTCTCCACACATCATGTTTGCTCAGTAACCTAACAGACCTAGTTATATTCCTGAAACTAATACATATTCATCACATTTCCTGAATATATATATGCTAATTAATATATGCTAATTATTTCCATGGACTTATTTGGATATGCTTCCGGATCGTCTGATGAATCTTTTCTCCTTGAGAGTGTCTCAAATCAGTCATCAGGTCATAATGTACTTCTCTTACTGTTCTTTGCTCTGACATACAATCCTTTTTCTCAAAACTAAGGTATCAGCTACTACATATTAGTCACCATTAACTGGAATAAGACTAACTAGTCAGAGATGTAGGGAAATAACACAGGACCCACAATAGTGTCTGTATTTGTACTAAGCACTGTATGGGACAAAACTAAGCATTAACCATGAATATAGGGATAGTACACTTAATATGTTAAAAGAATTTTCCAAGCTCTTACAGAAATATAACTGGTTTGGTAATAGTTGGAAGCACCACTGCTGCTCTTGGTGATGAGTGTGGGGAAAGTTGTCTGGCAGAGAAGGACTTGGGAATGGTGGCCAACAGCACCTAAGCATGAGCCATCAGTGTGCCCAAGTGGTCAAGGCAGCCAGTTGCATCCGTATCAACAGTAGTGTGGCCAGTGGGACCAGGGCATCTAAATCCTCTGTTCAAGGGCAGGGGGACAGTTTGCTTGTTCCTGGCAAACTGTGGGATGGGAGGCAAAGATTAGAAGAACAAGATGCTTGCAGTGGTCCTCTGCTTCTGAATCTGGAGTGTGCTGGCCACACTGAAGCATGCTTGCAGTCTTACGCAGTTGAGGCAAGGGCTTCTAAGGTAACAGGAGACAGGAGGAAAACACTGAGAGCTATCTCAAAGGAACTAAGGGATGTTCCTCTAGGAAGGCAGCATGGCCAGCATCTCAGCTAAAGTGCCTTTACACCAATGCACACAGTATGGGCAGCAAACTGAAGCAATTGTAAGCCACTGTGCTGCTGGAAGACTATGACTTTGTTGTCATTCCTGAAACTTTGTGGGATGAATCCTGTTTCTGGAGTGTGACTTTTAATAGCTGCAAGGCTGTTCGGAAGAGAGAGGAAAAGAAGTAGAGGCAGAGGGATTGCTCTGTACAGCAAGAGGTGGATTGAATGTGAAGAGCTGTCCCTGAAGAATACCCATGAGCAGGTGAAAAGCTGTGGGTAGGAGTCAGAGACTGAGGCAGCAAAGGGAGCCTTTGGCCGGGCTCTGCTACAGCCACCTGACCAAGGGGAGCCCATGGACCAAACCTTCCTACTCCAGCACAGGAGGCCTTGTGCCCGAGGGTGGTGGCCTGCAGGGGAACTCAGCCACCCCAGCAGCTGTTGGGAAAGTAGCTTGGAGGGCTGTGGCAATCCAGGAGACTCCTGGAATGTGTGGAGGACACCTTCCTGGGGCAGGTGACAGCCAGAGGGAATGTGGTACGGGATCTGTTGGTCACCAGTGCAAGTGAGCTAACTGGACACCAGGACTGGAGGCAGCCTGGGCTACAGGGATCACGTGCTGCAGCCCTGAAGGATAGGGCTTGGCTAAGGAATAAAAGTTCAGCTCTTGAACTTTAGGAAAGCAGACTTCCAGTCCTTTGGGAACCTAGTCTGTGGGATGCCCTGACAGACTGCCCTTAGTAACAAGGGAGTAGAAAAGAGCTGGCAGATCTTTAAGGAACGCTTGCACACAGCATGAGGGCTGGCAATCCTCAGGAGCAAGAAATCAGCCAAGGGGGGCAAGAGACTGGCATGGCTCAGTAGGAATTTGCTGGTCAAAGTTAAGGGAAACAAACCAGGACAGGTGACCTAGGAAGAGTTTAGAGATGAAGCACAGCTGTGTAGGGAGGCCATGAGAAAGGCCAAGGCAACAGAACTGGAACTGAACCTGGCAAGAGACACAAAGAATAATGGGAAGGGCTTCTACACTACATTAACCAGAAAAAGAAGGTTTAAAAAAGGATGTCTCCCAATTAAACAATGCTGGAAAAGTGATGACAGTGGATGAGAAGGCCAATGTACTCAACAACATTTTTACCTCTGTCTTGAATGGCAACCTCTCCTCCCATTCAGGGATGGATGGACAGCAGGATAGGGACTGAGGGGACAAAGTCTCTCCTACTGTAAGAGAAGATCAGGATCATGGCTATCTGAGGAATTGGAATGTACATAAGTCTGTGGGACCCAATGATCTACATCCCAGAGTCCTGAGGGAATTGTCAGTAGATGTCAGTCATATGTAGTTGCCAAGCCACTCTCCCTGATATTTAAAAAGTCACTGCAGTCAGGACAAGTCCCAGGTGACTGGAAAAGGGGAAAATACTGTACCCACCTTTAAGAAGGGTAGAAAGGAGGCGTACTGAGAAATACTGACCTGCCAGCCCCACCCCTGCCTGGGAATATCACAGAACAGATGCCCCTAGAGCTGTGCACATGCAGGACAGGGAGGTGATTCAGGGCAGACAACACAACTGCACCAAGGGCAGATCCTGCCTGATCAAGCCAGCGGCCCTCTACAATGGGGTGATGGCATCAGTGGACAAGAGAAGGGTTACAGGTGTCATTTGTCTTTATTTTACTGTAAAGCCTTTGGCACAATCCCCCACAACATCCTTCTCTCTTGACTGGAGAGAGATGGACTCGGTGGGTGGACTGTTCAGTGGAATTGGTTTGACAGTCACATCCAGAGGCAGGAGGTCAGAGACCCTGTGGACTTCAGTGAGAAGTTGTGTCCCTCAGGGGTCCATAATGGGACTAGTGTTATTTAATATCTTATTAATGACATATACGAATGGATTTGCAAATGACACCAAGCTGAGTGGTGTAGTTGTCAGATTTGAAGTATGGTATGCTATCCAGGAGGACCTGGACAAGATGGAGAGCTGGGTCCATGGTGATCTATGTGTTTTAACAAGACCAAGTGCAAGGTGCTGCCCGTAGGTCAGAGCAGCCCTGGTACCAGCACAGGCTGGGCATGACCAGATCCCAGCAGCCCTGCCCAGAAGGAATTGGGGGTGCTGGTGGCTGAGAGGCTGGACCTGCCCCAGCCATGGGCACTGCCAGCCCAGAGAGCCACACGTGTCCTGGGCTGCATCCAGAGCAGGGTGGGCAGCAGGGCAGGGAGGGGATTCTGCCCCTCTGCTCTGCTGAGACCCCACCTGCAGGGCTGCATCAGCTCTGGGGGCACAGCACAGGAGGGACAGGGAGATGTTGCAGTGAGTCCAGAAGAGGTCACCAAGATGACAGAGGTCAGCAGCACTTCTCCTGTGAGGAAAGGCTAGGAGAATCAGGTTTGTTCAGTCTATAAAAGGGAAGGCTTCAGGGTGAACTGATTGCAACCTTCCAATACCTGAAGGGAGCCTACAAGAAGGAGAGGAGTGTATTTTTTTTACAAGAGCGTATAGTGATGGGACAAGGGGGATTGATTTCAAACTGAAAGAAATTTTAGAGCAGATACTAGGAAGAATTTCATTATTGTAACAGTGGTTAGACACTGGAACAAGTTGCCCAGGGAAGTTGTGGACGTCCCATCTCTAGAACTGTTTAATGCCAGATTAGATGGAGTTCTGAGCAACCTGGTTTAGTGAAAGACGTCCCTGCCCAAAGCATGGGAGGTTGGAAATAGATGATTTACAACATCCCTTCTAACCTATAGGCTATTTTGTGATTCTGTGGTTCAGTTTTGGGTCTTTCTTAGTGAGAAAGAGTTCTGGAATGTGACAGAAGAAGATCAGCACAGCTGGTGAAGGATCTGAAGCACAAGTCATGTGAGGAGTTGCTGAGGGAGCTGGAGTTTTTCAGTCTGGAGAAAAGGAGGCTTGACCTTATTATTCTCTTCTGTTGCTGGAAAGTGGGTTGTGGCAAGATGGGGATTGGCCTCTTTTGCTAGATAACAAGTGGCTGGACAAGAGGAAATGCCCTTACAATGTGCCAGGAAAGGTTTATTTTAGCCATTAGGAAAGGGTTTTTTTGCGGGAAGGCTTGTAAAGCATTGGAACAGGCTGCTCAGGAGAAGTGGTGGAGTCACCATCTTGTTGGAACATCATGTGGATGTGGTTTAATGCTTGTGTGGATTTCTTTGTCTTGTGAACATATGTACACAAAGAAGCAGTTTTTTGGGGTAGCATCTAGTGGAATGGATAAAACACCTCAGGCTTGGGTAGCGAGCCCAGAATGTCTGACCTTGCCCTGTGGTGTTTTCTGATGGGCATGCTCTAGCTGGTGTCTTTCCATGCTTACTAGCATCCTCACAGAGACCTGCTGAGCTGATACCACCTCTGAGTGTGATACTGCCTCAATCCTGCTCTCTCATGGTTCAGCACTTGTTGGCAACTAGGGCATCTTGACTCGTGCAATTTGCTTCCTGAGCACTTTCATGGAAGAGGAGCAATGGCCTCATTGTTCATAACAATGCCATGGTTGAAGATCCCAGATATGGCAGGGGATACACATTTCACATGTTGGTAACTACCGGACAAAGGTGATTTGCCTCTTCAATCCATTGCTCAGTGTTCTGTCAGCAAACACAGTGCTGCAGCCGGTGCTGGATGAGAGCTGTTAGTAAGCTGAGTCATGGTCTCATCCCAGAACTGCTTGCATTTTTCCTGCAATCTGTTGCATAGCACCTCAGCACTTGTCTTGTACTATTTCCCTCTCCTATGAAAACCCTCACAGAGCAGTAACAGCATTGAAGGTGAGGTGACTGTGCTCTGTATTTGTGCTCCTCACTCAGTGTTTATATGGATACAGATGTATGAGTCAGCTCTGGAAGTGAATCATGAGGAGCAAGCAGGTCTTGCCTTTCCTTGGCAAGCAGCTGAAGCAATATGCTGAGGGCCAGCTCCAGGGTGAGATGAGCAAAGTACCAGAACAATGTGGGTTCAACCAATTTTGATACAGTTATGATTGTTAGAGGAAGACAGAGTACTTGGCTGTTCACCCTGAATGTCACTGGGAACTTTGCAATATGGTCATGTTCAGTCTGCCATGGATTGCTGGAATTCCTAGTAAAAGTTTGATTGCCTTTCATGTAAGATCTCAAAAGGCTAGGGATGGTGATTTTTCTTGGATGCAGTTCTGAGACTAGCAACTGTCTTTCATAAAGGAAGGGGACTGTGTATGTGATACACTACAAAAGGGAAGATACATTAAGAGCTAGGGATCAGAAGGTTTAGTAAGATTGTGAAACAGCACAGCCAAAAGCAGCTAATAACCATAAGCCAGGCTGTGACTGGTGATCTGAAAGGTTAGAAGGGAGCTTGTTTTGCCCTTCCCCTCTGAAATTATAGACTTTTCATATGAAGAGTCATAATGTAGCCCATAAAATGAAATCTTAATGCTTATGCAAGTTCTTTGCTTCAGGGGTTTTTAGGAAGTGTGTGCATCTTTATATAAATCAAGTCAAATTTCACTCACTGTAGATAAATGAATTATGCTAACACATAGTTTTGTGTTTTATAGAGCACAGCTTGGTGATGATGAAAGAACAGTTGCTGTTAGAGACTATGAATCTGTATATACAATTTCTGGAAGCAGCTCACCTTCAGATATTTTACCAATGCTGTACCTTTCTTCTGAACCACCACCAAAATATGAAGAGCAAGCATCAATAACAAATAGTTAATGTTCACCATCTTCTTCCTTATCTTTTTCATCAGTTTCCTTAGCCATATCTGACACCAGCTTCTAAAGGACTGACAGTTCACTTCATTTTTAATAAAATGTACACAGAGATTTACAATTTTTGAATTTATTTACATTTTGTAATAAAAGCAATAATGTTGTCTGTGTCTAATTTTTCATCAGGAAGAATAAACAATGAACTTGGAATTCAAGAAATACTAGAGAAGCCTGGGCCTCTGCTAAAGTAGTCTGAAGGGAGTTCACTGCAAGAACATTAAATTCTCATCTTGTTCTGTTACAGCTTCAGTTTCTATTTATAGCTGTTCTTTTTATAATGAAGCCACTAAGTAGAAACCAACTTTTTTTTTATTTTAATTAAATCTGTTTGGAGCTTCAAAGAAAGAAAAACTAGGAAGTGGTTTTATTTCTATTTTTGCATGACTTGTTTGCAGAGTTGTGGCCTTTACAAGTACTCGAGGAGCATTCACATGTAGGGATGTTAAGGTTGCTACGAAGATGCCATGATGCTATGAAGAGTTTCAATGGTTACCTTTTGGTCTGCCTGGTAACAAGCACTCCATATTTAGGTTCTCTCTGGTCCTTATGTAAGTATAATCCCTAGGAAAATCAATTTTAGCTGCAGTTAAGAGCCCAAAGGCAGCCCTGAGGATAGATAATAGGCTAACAGTTTAACTGTGGTAACCACTGGTTTCAGGGGGATTATTCTGCTGTTTTATATCATTATTCATGGATTATACAAGGAGTGCTTATTGTGTGAGAGTGAGTGCCACAAAGCAATGCTATCTTTGAGGTGCAGACATTACTTACCAGCAGATGCGGGAGAGGCAGTTTCATGGAAACCCATGCAGCAAATGTTTTTAACTGACATAACACTTGACAGACCCTTCAGAAGTACAACCCTCTTAGCTCTTCCATCCTGCTGCCACCTAGGGTAGTGGTAGTGGCCTGCCTTCAGGGAGGAGGTTCTAATGTTATTTTGTGTTTGTTTGCACCTGTTCCCAAACTGAGGGATTAGCTTGTAGTAGGTAAAGATAAGTAGGAAGAACTGAGTTGCTGCTATCTTTGACATCTTACAACTTGCTATGAATGCTGTTTGAGAAAAAGAAATTGGATTCTGTGCTCAGAAAAGCAGCAGGGCTTTGGGCTTGGTTCAGCCTGGTGTATTTGCCAGCATTAAAACTTTTTGTAAGAGTGATCTCTGAATTGTTCAGCTGAGTCTCTGAACAGCTGTGTACCTTGGGACCCCAGTTACATCTCCACTTGTCATATACTATGCTGAATTTCAGAGAACTTGAGTGTAACAGGATGCCAGACTATGAATTAAGAACTTAAATTCCCTCTTGTGCCTAGGGAAAGGTGATTGCCTTTTTGTCATCTTGCTGTGAACATGCCTCTCACCTGCTGACTGCTTTAGAGAGATGTTCAGGAGCTCCTGCATTTGCCATTTATTTCCAGTTCTGTGTCATTCCCTCAGTTATGCCAGGACAGCTCTTTGTGCAGCCACACAAAAACAAACCAGCCAGTGAGGGAAGTATATTTAGCCAGCAGTAGAGCTGAGGGGCTTATGCATGCAGAGTAATGAGCAAACACGGCAGAGAGGGGGATTTAGTATGTAGGAGCTGATTAAACTGGCATGACTCAGCCATTAGAAATGTCTGCATGAAGAAAGGGAATCCACAAAAGCCAGTAGGCATTTTGTCCTCTCTTCTCTCAAACATTTTTTACCTAGTGAGTTTTACAAGGATGTTTGTCCTTACATGCAATCTGCAATACAAACTGTAGTTTGCCATCTTTGTGATTATTTTTTAAGCTTTTGCTCCTTTTGTTTAAACAGTGGGGCCCACTGCCGTGTATGATTCATGCCTACATAGCTTTGCATGTGTCTAAGGAGCCTGTTTCTCTCTCAAATTATCCTTCTATCATATAACAAGAACAGAAGCTGGGATATTTTACTGGAAAAGTCCCATGCAACAAAGCCCATGTTAGCTTTATCCTGTTCTTTATCCAGAACACTCATTTTCTGAAAAGGCTAAGTATCAAAACATGTTTTCACAAATCTGGAAATATTTCACCATCTTAAAAAAAAATGATCAGTTGCATTTGGTAGTAAAGTGAAAAAGTATCAACCTTTTCTGCTGCCTTCAATTTGCTCAGTCGGTTGTTCCCAAGATGTACCAAAGAGACCAGACAAATCAAGCAGAATATGTTGATTCATCAGAGTTCCCTGTAACAGAAACACAATCTTGTTTTCCTTCAAGGTTATTGTATTTTGATCATCTACTGCAGAGTCTTCATTGTGGATAACTTCATTTGTAAAAAAGCAGTCTTCACGTGGTTCAGAAAGCTGCTGACCTGACTTCAGACTCGGCATCCTGGAAAGGTGTTACCTCTCAAAACAAGGATTGAAAACAGACTTTATCTCTCTGTGATTTTGAGAAGATGCTTCAGAAATAGATCTGTTTGCAACTGTATTAGCGTCTTCTATTTTTTACTTAGAAAAATCATTACATGAAAACTCAATGGATGTGCTGGGTGCCCCTCCATGAAGCGCTCAGCATTAAAGTGGTTAACATGGCCAGTGCCACAGTATTTGCCGACTGTGCTGTTGAAAACTGTTGCAGAAAGGTCAGAAAATGTGAGTAAGAGGCTAGCAAGTCTGCCCTCACCACTGAAGGGTACCACTGGGTGAACGGCAGTAGAGGGAGGAATTTTTGATGTGAGGAGTAGGAGTGAAATGTCTGTATTAGAAAGGAAGCAACACCTTGTAAAACTATAAAAGTAGCTTAAAATAATACAGAATAGCATTTTATTGAGGAAGTGAGATACTTTACTGTCCCACTAATGGTGCTATAACCTCCTTTCTACTCTAAGGTTAGCTTAAATGTTTGACATAGAAATGCTAGTGAGCAAATCAAGTTGGTTACTGATTCACACTTACTTAAACAGGCAAAGTGGGAGGTAAGGTTTGCTTGCCCTCTCTAAGTGAAGGTCTTTCTTCCTTGCTGCCTGCACTGACACTGCTCTGCTTCTAACTGCAGCACTGCAATCCTTTGCATATGAGAGATTCACAAAAATATAAATGAATATCTTTTCTCTAGGAAAAGTCTTTCTTCCTACATCAACAGCAGCGAAAAAAATCAACAGTTAACTCATCTGAAAAACTGGGATTGCACAGGTCTTTGCAATGTTGCTATGTTTTTGTGATAGCAGCACTTGATATTGCAAGGGAGTGATTGCACCCACCCCATCTTTGCCCTTTGTGGTTTGTGTTGCTGTATTCATTTATCCCTTTTCCATCCTATCTCTTCAGAGTCATGACTTGTAGTGCCAATACCTCCACGTTCTGCACTGAACATGCCAGACTTCAGTGTTCTTCCCTCTATCAAGCATGCATGCACCTCAACAATTAGGCATGGAAAAACCTTCATTTTGGTGTGCCTACTCACAAGACAACATTTTCGGGAGCATATAAAGCCACTTTGCTGGTAAATGCAGTTGTGGACAGCTGGCTGAACCGGCTCCTCACAATTTATTTGTGCTTTGAGGCTGGCAGTGCAGTAGTACAGGGGTGAAAGGCCCACTCAGTGGATCTTCATGTGTAATTGTTTTCCACTAAAGACACCATCTGCAGTTACCTTTCTCTAGGAAAAATCCCACTAACTCAAACCACTGATTCCTTAATCTCCCTAAATTATGGACTGATAATTTGTACTTACTTATTTTAAAGATAATCAATGTGCAATACCCTGTGTTGTGCAGCTTCTTTTGCATGTTCTTTGACCAAGTCCCTGCTTATATAACTGGCGTGTAAGAAAATAAAACCTTCCTTCAAGAGGCTGATAATGTGAACAACTGTGTAAAACAGGTAACATAAAGAGAAGAAAAAAGGGTTAAGAGGTAGCCTGTCAGTGTTCACTAGGATGACCTATCAAACAGGTTAGAGAACTGAGGGGGTGCAGAGCACCTGCTTCCAGCAGCTAGCACTACAGGCAATATTTTCTATTACTACTTCCCCTGGTAATAGAAAATTAGGTGGAAGAACAGAAAGCAAAGCAACGCTTGTGTTCATGGGTAAGGTCTGAAGCAGATGAGAACAGAACTGTATTAAGATCTGAAAACAGCACTCATTCTAAAAAACCTCACTCCAACCAATTTTCCTTGGTTTCACAAAACTATTTTGCTTAGGAGTCATACCAGGTAAAAGGGATGCTTTTGGTAAATTGACATTTTTAAGTGAGTCCCCAGAACACACACTTATTTGCAAAGAAAAGCACTGGTCCTAAAAAACTCAGTGTGATCCAGTAATCTCTTAAGACCCTGACAGCTGCCTGACTGCAGCATTACCACTCTCTGGGAAAATAATTGGAGGAATATGGGGATGCATAGAGGAAGCTGTCTTACAGAGGGGGAACAGTTTACAGGGAAAGGAGTAATTTTAATGTAGATCCCAGCACAGCAAATAGAGAATGTTTTCCATCCTATTTTAAAAGTTCAAGTGGCATATAGGTTTGGAAGGAAAAAAAGAACCCTGTGTCCTCCAGTTCTACTGTGCACTTGCTCAACACATGAAGTCATGTCCTAGACCAGAGGAAAAGAGACGGCTGTGGGATGACACAACACCCAAATTGGAAAATTCTGATTCCAGACAGGATCTAAGGATCACTCTGTGGGATTGAGGAAGTGCTCCAGTACAATCCCATTGCAAATAGTGCTTGCAGAGTTCTTAAATGAATGAAAGGAGCAAGGTGACACTACATCTGTATAAACTATTAGCTGGACAGCTATTATAATATAGTGCTGCTTTTAAAAGGATGTTGGAAAGCCTGAAAGATTCAGCAGTGGCAAGGATGATTCATAGTATGGAAAAACCTGACTTGTAAAGAGCAGTAACAGTTCATTCCATTAAGTTTAACAAATGTAAGGTTAAAGGTGATTTAGACTTCGGCTATAATTGCCAGTGCAAGGACAGTTTATGTAGTATTTCAGCACTTTCTAGTTTAGTTGTCATCATACAAAACCACTGCATTGCAAGACTGATTTCTTTGCTCAAGAGGTGCAGATAATCCTGACCAGACTTAGTGTTGTGGTAAAGGCTGATCTTGAGTGTATTTGTCAGAAAATTTGCTGACACCCTGGGTAACAGGGGCGATGTAATAATGCTGCATTTGGAAGCTTCACAGCTTTTTTTTAAAGGAATCCAGCACTAATATTCCTCAAGGTCTGTGCACTAAAAAATGAGAACGACATCTGCAATTGCATTCAGCATCAGTTCTAAAAGTGCCAAATTTTGTGAACAGCCCTTTCCAGGAAAGAGCTGTTGTCACACAGTCTCATGTGAATGTACAGTAGACTAAAGGCACTTTTTACTGACTTTGAAGAAACAGTCTAAAAGGTAAATTTTCTAGTGCTAGAGCTATTTTTAGTTTTACAAATTTCAGGATAAGCTTGCTTCCCCACAGCTGCTGGTAGCAGGAAATGACATTATCTGTTCTACTGCCCAAGCAGTAATCAGTGTCCTGTGTGTGTCCCTCCCATGCTAGTCAAAACAGGCAGAGTAGTTGGAGATTTTTCCTCCTTAAGGAATTATACAAAGACATTCTACCAGAACCTTTCAATAGGAATTGCTTTAGTCTGAAACTGTTAGGAAACAGAAAATTTCAAAATTCAATAATCTGTCTGTTTAATATATGAGACATGAGTTCAGCAGAACAATTCATTATGATATGCAGAAGTATCCTAGATACCTGTGAGTACAGGATAAGATTCCTCACTCTGTCAAGTTTAGTGTTACAGGAGGTGCTTTCTCTTTCCTGCAGAGATGTGCTATTCGGGGTGTTTGGACATTATTCTCTATAAACCTTAAAACCTACAACAAAATATGTCCAGAATTAAGGGGAAATTATAGGGTAATTTTACTGCTTCAACCTGGTGGAAAGCTTTGGCTGTCTTGAAATAATGTTTCTCCCACAGCCAACAGTTCTCCCAGGCTTCTCAGTACTCACCATCCTGTTGCCGCTTACCCTCCTGCTCACCTACTGGTTGCCCCAGAAAAATATCAGAAAGCATACTTTGATATTTTTGTAAACCAAGAAATGCAAAATGAGCTGCACCAGAGGTTCAGGCATGACTATAAATGTCACGCTTGAGAGCATGGAAAAGCATTCCTAGCAATGGCCATGTGGAATTTTCCTGCAGAAAATTGAGCAGGAAGTGGAGAGCAAGGATCTCTTCACTGCTGTTGACTAAACATATGCTGTCCATATGTTGGATGCATCAGCTAGCTGGGGCCAAGGAAAAGCTGCAATAGCTTCAGCTTGCTTTTTCTGCATTCCAGAATGAGCACGGTATCATGGGTGCTAAATTAAAGAAGAAGAAACACAAGGAGACAGGCAGTCATGCAGGGGTGAATCCATTTCGGAAGTGATGGTGGTAATTCAAGAAATCTTTAGTGATGGCTTCAGGCTTCACTTCCCAGACCTTTGTTCTTTCAAGCAAAGTTTATTCTTTCACATGATGGACTCTGTTAACCATACACACACAAAGTTCTTGTATAACTAACCTGAACCTTCGACTTTAAATGCTCTGCCAAGTCCTTTACAAGCCCCCTTTCTCTTGAAGGAGAGAATACATTATAGTCAGTAATGGAGCAAAACAACAACAATGTAGAAGATTTCTCCTTGAATGTTTTTTCTGTCACTCCTTGTCAGCCAAACAGATCTGATGCCCTGGTGTCAGATGGGGATAAAGCTGGCACCACTCTGCTCTTTTCAGGTGTGTTTTTGGGACTGGTGGGGATCACTTTCACTGTGATGGGATGGATAAAATATGATGGCATTACTCACCTGGAGTGGACTCAGTTACTAGGGCCTATTCTGCTGTCTGTCGGGGTGACTTTTATTCTGATTGCTGTTTGTAAATTTAACATGCTTACGTGCAAGCCCTGTAAAGAAAGAGAGGAAAATACGCCGGAACTTGACCAGGCTGCAAGCGGACAGTCCTTTGTCTTCACCGGCATTAACCAGCCTATAACTTTCCACGGTGCCACGGTGGTACAGTACATCCCACCGCCGTACCCGTCCCAGGAAGGCGCTGCCGTCAATCCCGGCCACCTGTGCCCAGGGCTCCGCTGCTGCGCTGCTGCTCCCCCCAGCACCTCGCCACTCCTCGCCTCGGGCTCTCCTCACTTCTGCCCTGCCTATGCCCTGGACAACCTGGCTTTTACTGGAGATGAGGGCTACACTGCTTATGCTGCAGAGAATTCCAGGAATCAGAGGTACATCTTCTGAAATGCCTTAGTGTGTTTGGACACAGGCTTCTGAATATTATAAGTACAATGTGGGGTTTTCATAAGAAACCACAGCTAGTCCAGGGTTTTATCCTTCTCAGGCCTTTTTTTGTCTTTCTTAGGAATTTTTCATGAGTGAGGAAACATACTTTTCCTGCAAAGTGTTTTTTTACAATTTAAATTCACTTATAAATGTCTTTTGGTTTTTGGTGAACTAAACCTCTTGTTCATTTTTAAGATGTATATGTTCCTGTTTGTGGAGGTTTTCTTATGTTTATCTTGCCACCTTTTGGTTATTATGTGTATGATACCAAGATGATTTTTTGCCTTTTTTTAAATATACCCTATATATATATATATATATATATATATATATATGTTTATATATATAACTTTTATATATCCTCAGTATTCTTAGCATGCATGCTTGTAATTCCTTAAGTCTGATAACTTAGCATAGCCCTAGTATTCTATTAGGCCAGGAGACCAAACATCCTAAAGGCCTTAAGGGGGTGGTAGGAGGCCAGAAAACCCTACACTGTCTTGGGAAACCAAGGTCCTCTCTGGAACACATCCTGTAAACTAGAGATTTGCCCATGCAGGGGGAATTCCACAGATGGGGGAATATCACACTATTCATCTAGGCCTCCCATTGGAGCACCTCTGTTAGATATGCTGATTTTTAAGGTCTATAAATTGTATACACCATCTGTTGTAGGGGTGCATTGCAGTACATCCCACCTTGGTGAAGTTGTGCACCATAAGGATCTTTACTAAATACCAAGGTAAAACCCCTTGTCCCTTAACTGTGTCTGGCTCTCCAATTTTAAGACCAGGAAAAGGCATCATGCAGAGCCAGAGGCTTCCACTCAAACTCAATCACAACACATGAGTCAGCACAAAAACAGCATTTCTGCAACAATGCAAGAATCAGTCTGGTACCAGATACTCTCCCTCCTAAATACACCTGGTCACAACATGCTGCTGTCCCACTGAAACAGCCTTCCAGCTCTTCCTCTTTTCCTAGTTTTGAGGCATAAACAATATTGGTCATGTTGCACAGCAGTATGGAGCTGCTCAAATTGTACACAAAATTACTTTATATAGTTCTTTGCTCCAAGGAAAAATATTCTAATTATAGGAATTACTCATAATTATATCCTTTGTGCAACACAAGTTAGTTCATTTATCAAAGTCATTTTCAAAAACACAAGTTAGTTCATTTATCAAAGTCTTTTTCAAAAACTGCTGACTTACTTATTGTTCTCAGCAAATATGAATGACAGGCATGGGCAGGGTGGAGACAAAGGTCACCTCCTGACACTTCTAAACTTCATGAAAAAACCCCAGCAAACAGCTGAATATCAGTAAAACTTCATCTCATAGCATTTTCTTCATTAGCTGGGAGTACTTTTCCCAGATAAGGCTGGGAGGATGAAACACTGAAATTACATGAATGCTCTGATAAATTCTTTTTGTATCTGCTCCTCTTCCTCTTTTCAGGTCAGAAGACAGTTCTGATGAACCAGAAAGACTGCTGGAAGACTATGCCCGTAATAACTTGTCACCTCCACGTTATGAGGAAATATACCCTTTTTCTTCATAAAATCATCATGGACAAAAGACAACAATCCTAGGAGATGCTAGCAAGAATCCTAGAAAATCTTTTCTTTAAACACTTGTGTGATAAGACAGTGTGAGCAAGTTCTTGATTTTCATACACAGTATCACTGAAGATATTTAACTGACCCTTTCCTTTTTCTCTGTCAAAATTTGTTAGCCCTTTGCAATGCAGTTTAATAGCAGAGCTATTAATTATTCAATGGCTAAACTATTAATAGCAAAGGTATTAAACACAAGGATCCAAATCCATATTAGGATTCCCCAACAAGAAGCTTGATTTTCAGACTTGCTGAAACCAGGGAGAACTGTGAATGCAGAAGATGTTTGTGGAAGATCATGATTGCCCCTGGACATTCAGCATCTTTAGAAAATACTTGATTTTTTGTTGAGGTATTTTCATTCTTGATTGCTTGGGAAACCTCAGAAGTACTCAAGTGTCTGATCCATGAAAGTGCATTTTATGTCTTAATTTTGTCTGATTCTTTAGAAGAGCTTACTCATTAACAAGTCCAATCTACAGATTAGACTTTGTCAGCTTGCTTTAGCTGGACAACCAGTCCTGTTGCACAACTCAGTCCTGTAGGCATTTTTTGGACCATCTTGCTTGAACCACACCATCTCAGAACAGAGAAAACAAATAGTGACTTATGACAACTTTTACATAAGATCTCTAAGACATCTTGCATGCATCAAATTCAGCTCCCTTCCCTACCTGAATGGAAGCAAAGCACAGCCTCCCACCAGGAGTCCTAATAACTATGAAGTTAATATCACTAAAGAAAATGGCATCTTTCTGAAGCCTCGACAGAGATGTGTCATCCTGCCACTGTTAAGGACTTTGACAATCACAGCTGCTGCACCCCACTCTGCGGGAGGGCTGTGGTGAAACACCTCTGAGGTCCCTTCTTATTTGAATGTATTCTTAGGCACACAACCCAGGCTGCAGGTTGCCCCCGGAGTATCTAGGCAGCTGTAGGCTGTAGTAAACTTTCTTGCTCAAGTTCAGCTTGGTTCCATGCATTGAATCCACAACAATTTGAGATAAGCTCATTTGGCTAGAGAATGGCATTGCTGAACACCCAGACTGTGGGTTTGATCCCCGAATGGGCCATTCACTTAAGATTTGGACTTGACGATCCTTGTAGGTCCCTTCCAATTAACAATATTCTGTGATTCTGTGAAATATATTTACAGCTGTATATAACAAAAGATGAAGTGTATTAGCACTGAAAGTTTGCAATACAGAATGAAGATCCGAAGAGGCTTAGCTCAGGAGCTTATAAAACCACAGAGCAATGACAATGCTACAAGTCCCTACATTTTTGTTTTGTTTTTCCACATATATTTAAGGTTCTGCTTTTAGATGTGCCAAGAAGTGCAACAAGCCAGTATTCCCTATGATGATCCCATTAGATTTTCTCATCTCCCTCAAAGCAAAAGCTGATCTCAGCTCTCACCTGCTGGAGTGGGCGCCACACAAAACGCCCCGGAGGGCAATGGTCACTGTCCCAGGTGACCAAGCTGTGCACTGCTGGTGTGCCTGTGGGTCAGTCTCCTGGCACAGCACAGCTAAAAGCAGGCGTCCATTATGGAATGCACCAACTTTCTCTTACTCGTCAATGCAGCTGTCTCTGCTCTTGCCAGATTTCATCCACCTGTGATTGATCTCATTCCTGGGAGCTGGAGAAGCTTGGCATTTGAGCACAGACAGTTGCACACTAACCTGATGTAGCTGGCAGAAAATCTCAGAGTTTCTGTGCAGCTCCTCTAGCAATCAGGAGACAGCTCTGGATGGAGATGTGCATTCAGAACATTGTCCAGCTGCATGGACCTGCAGGTGCTTGCCTCCCTGTCCTGTGCACTCAGAGGTTGCCAAGAAATAAAGCATGGGGTGGGAGGGCAGCACAAAACAACCACTGCCCTCCACAGTGATGGACAAGACACTAACAGAGGTCATATTTGGGATGCAACATTTAAACAGACTCAAAGCTGGATTAGCAACTGCAGCAGCAGCTACTGAACAGTGACTGCAAACTTTGTGTGAGGTTTTTCTCATTAGAGAAATCTGGAACACACTGTTTTTCAGCAGTGATGTCCTGGTGTTAGCAGGTAGTTGGAGAAGGGGAGGCATGTGTAGTTGGAGAAGGGGAGGCATGCTGTGTTCAGCATGATCTCTATGGGATTGAGTGAGAGAACAGAGGATCTAAAAATAAATGCAAGTTTATTTTATGGAAGTGTCATGCTCCTTTTCTGGAATTTACACAGAGGTGAATTCATCCTCCCTCCACAGCAGGAAACTGGATGGTCCCAAATCGCCAGGTAGTTCCACAAGTACAGAGCCCTGAATTTAGCACACAGTTGTGCTGAACCCAGCAGGCACTGCAGTAGCACAGAGGTCAGGCTTGATGGATACAATTGCAGGACTAGGGTCAAAATTTCTGCCCAGTCACCCTCCTCCACCCCAAGAAAATTCCTTCAGTCAGACACCACAGATTTTTTTCCTGCTTCTCTTCCTCCTGCCAGCTCCCTGCGTCCCCCCAGCCCCAGCATAAATTTTACTAGGTAATAATATCTTTTTTTAGATATTAGATAGACAGAATAAATGGAAAAAAACTCAGAAACTCAGAAGGGTGCACTGTGGACTTCACATTGATTTTAAAGTTTACTTCTAGCTGCACTATATTCATTGTAGAGAATTGGAAGAATCCTGGGTTTCTCTTTAAAGAGGATATTAAGTTTAAAAAGCTATATTGAAATTACCTTGACCCATCAGATTAATTCTGGCTGAATTCTGTGGGAGTCTTTTGAGAAACTCCAGGGTGGTAACAGTCTCTTGGTGTACTGAGTGCTGATGATGGATTTTAAGAACAGAGACATGTACTATGAAGGCTTTTACTTCCTTTTCTTCCTTCCACCTTCTACTTTCATCCTTTTTTTTCTGTTTTAACTACCGGGTTTGGAGGGGTTGCTGGGTGTGTGCGTGTTTTCTTTGTTTGTTTGGATTTTGGAGGGTTTGTTTGTTTGTTTTTACTGTGATATATAACCATCACATGAACTCACTTCTTAGCATTAAGAAATCTTTCTGCGCTATGATGAGTGAAAGAACAAATCCTTTTGGCCTTCAACCAAGGTCAACTGTCACAGCCCTTCCACATTATACTGATGTAACTTCAGAAAGCACCTGGAAGACTGTATTTGAGATTTTGCTCAATCCATTTTTAATTTAAAATGGTGCTCTTTAAGCAAAATTGCATTCTCCCACATTGCAAACCTGCAGAATATTGGGGATTTAATAGTTTAAAGTGTCTTGCACTCTAGTCATAGTGATAGAATCTTGTCTGTACTTTCAGCTATGTGCGTGGGCTCTTGGGATTTTTCCTAATATAACTCTATTTATAAGATTTTGATCATAAACTAGTTAATGTATGAAATCAGTAGAGGCACGTGTATTGATATGAAACTGAGCATGATCTATTAATTTCAGTAAAAACTCTACAAAGATCTTCTCTAAGATCGAGGAGCTATTTCCAGACATTGAATGCCACACGGTGCAGCGTGCGAATTTCTTCTCGTGTTAAATCCGAAGCCTGCTGTTTCCCACCGGCGCTGCCGTATTGCGGTCAGTGCGGGGGTGCAGCAGGAGGGTTTGGGGCGCGGTGCTTTAGCAGCACGTTCCCCGAGTTTCCCCGGCCGCTGCCGTGCCCGGCGCCGGTGCTGCCGCGCCAGGGATGCTCCCCGGCGCAGAGCACGCACGGGCGGGGGCGCTGAAATCCTTCTGAGAGCTATTTTTAAACTGAATCGGGATTTAGGAAATCTGGGTCTCGGGGAAAAAAAACAAACCTGTAAGTAGGGCTCGTTCCTCTCCAGAGAGCCCCAGTGACGCACACGGCGGGCCCTCAGCGCGGGGCCCCTCCCCGCGGTGAGGGCGCTGCGGCCTCCATGCGGCGGGGAGCCCGGGCCCGCGGCCCCGGGGCCGTGTCCCAGCCGCAGCGCGGCCGAGGCGCTCTCTCCCCGCAAGCCGGAGCGGGGCTGGCCCGGCCCGGCTGTCCCGCCGCGCCGGCAGCGCCAGAGGGCGCCGGGGCCGCCCGGGAGCAGCCGCGGCCGCCGAGGTCCTGTGCCGGCGGGAGGCTCCGCAGGCGCCCCGGTGCCCTCATCCGCTCACCCGCCCGAGCTAAAACTATGCGACTTTAAGGAGATCTCTTCCCGCACTGACCCGAGGGGTGTCAGAGGCGCAGAGCCGGCAGTTTGTCAGCGGCCCCGAGTTGTGAGACACCCGGCATTTCGGGGAGCCGAAGCTTTTGTCCTCAGCTTCGAATACTCAAGATGCCGTTGAAAGGTATCCTGTGCTCTCTCACAACGGAGAGTTGGTTTATTCAGGAACAAAATACTCGTGGTGACAGACCCAGTGAAATCGCCGAAGAGCAGGGTACCATGCCCGCCCTCACAGCAGCTCTCACACCCCGCCCTGTGTGAGACACTGGGCTGGAGACATCTGGGAGGACTGCGGCTTGGGGGTAGGCGCTGCACAGTGCACTCACATGCACTCCCGTCTCCTCCTCCTCTCCGCTGTGACCTAATGGAACAGGCTTCTGTCTGCATGAAGGAGCAGGGGGAAGTCCAAGGGTCATTTGCAAAGAACTAGGGCATGCTGTTTGTATACAGCACCTACGATAATCCGTGCCTGCTCCAAGTGTCATTACTGGCTCCACTTTAGCTGTCAGGGTGAATAGACATCAACAGGACGTGCTGAACGTCGCTGTTGCTGCCCCATCCCCAACGTGAATCAGTGTGTCTGTCAGAGAAGCGTACAACAGAGCCAGGTGGGATCCCATGGGCTGTGCCTGCATTAGCTGAGCAGCGCTGCTCAGCAGGAGAAGGGCTGAAGAGGGAAACAGCAGGTGCAGAGAACCCGGTAACCACGTGCACTGCATGTTGGAGAGGTTTATATCAGACTTACTCCTTTGGACTTGAGGCTGATTAGCAGCTGAAATACACATTGTTCTCCTGTAATGTATTTCCTTAGATTCATCCAATAGAAATTATTCATCTCACACCTGTGATGTGATATGATGTGATGTGATGAAAAGCTTCACAGAGCAGGTGAGGAGTGTAGGGAATCTCTTAAATAGCACCTGATTGGAATCACTTGTTGCCCTGCAGATTGGGATGACTTGCAGCATTTGCAGGAGCTGCATGTTGTAGAGCAGAGAGGCTTCTCTGAGCTTCCTGACAGCAGTGAGCTCATGGGAGACCCTTTCCCAGTACTGACAGATGTTACTTTGAGAGATCTCACAGTGTACTCCTGACACCTCCAAAAGTCTAGTTTTGTGATTTGTGCCTGCCTGAACAATAATTTCAAAGTGATGAAGAAGTTTTCCCATGGGGAACAGGAAAAATTACTCCCTAGCTCTTGTGGTCTTGTACCTCATTCCTTATGTGATAACAGCAAAGGGTCAAGGGTAAATCAGTGGTGGCATGATTGTATCTGTGTCGTGTGTGGCATCTCTAATGAGCAATTGATTATATCTACACACGCTATTTAGCAAACACCATGGGACATGGTCTAGCAGAGTAGCTGCGGTACATCTCTTATCAAATCCTAGGATGAGATTAATGCTCTCCTGTTTGGATTATATCAAGTCAGATTTCTAAAAATTTGTTTATTTTTGTAGATAAATCATCACTCTATATGTAAGATGTCATGCTTAGCTCTTAGGGAACAGGGCATGCTATTTAACAGCCCTGGGTAGATGACCCAATAATTTCATGTTTTGCATAGCTGCAGCGTCCTCTTTACTTACAGTTCAGCGAGTCTGCTCAAGAGCTTAGCCCTAAGGTAAAGCTTCATGCTCTGTCAGCTGAAGATATACCTAAAGAAATACAGAGCAATAATGCAGTCCAAGGTTATGACTTTCAAAACAAACTGACAAAAAATCAAACCCGAAACAAAGAGGTGTGCATTTAAATTTCTAACCATGAAAGTGGCTGTAGCTTCCATGTTAGTGAGCACTGCTTGGGGTACCCTTGTTTCTCTGCTGCTCTGCAAGGCAAACCCAGCCAGAAACAGTCAGCACTGATATTCAAAGCAGCAGTGACTTCTCACATTGCCTTTTGTCCCTAGGCACCTGCCACGCATCCCTGTGGTCAGCTGACAGAGCTTTGCCTCACACAGAGGCCTGGCAAAAGCTGGCAGTTAGAGAAGGCTGTGATTTGCACCTCTTTGCTATTTTTTTTGTCCCCATTTGTTTTTCACCATTTAACATGCCACCTTCTGGATTTACGTGGAGCAGGACCACAGTTGCCACAGCACACGCATAATGAAAACTGTTTCATTATCTTTTCAAAAAACACTTGCATTAGATAACCATTTGGCCTTATTCTGCTTAAACCCTATTAAGGGAGGGAAGAAAATAAACTGAGACTTCAGCAAAAATTAATGTCTTCTGAACTCCAGAGGTGCTGTAGAAATCTTTTTTTTGCAAAAAAACAGCAGTTTCCTGCAACAAAACAGCAGTTCCCTTTCATGAAAATGTAAGGAAAGAGATATATTATTGGAAATATACATACATAATCCATCAATATGTGATCTTACTTATTTTTGTAAAACATTAAGAGAAGATAACTATTTTATTTCCTGTGTCAGTCCAAAAAGGGCATTATTTTTACTCTATTCCACTTCCCCAGATTTTGCTCTCAAACCAGATGTACTTGAGTGTTTTGCAATGTGCCAACACTGCGCTATTGTAGAACTTTCTATGTTGTTTTGGTCTTTTGCAGACTGACAGGTGCTTTGTCCTCCTGCCCTCCACACTGACTGGATAGGGACTGATCAGCACCGTGCTGCCAAAAGAGCATACACAGACATACATGAACCCAGCATACACATGCAAACAGTAGAATGACTTCTTTAAAATCAACTTTTTAAAGGTCGGTGTCAGTGGGAACTGGACTAATGTGCCAGTTGATGAAAGAGTGCAGCACTGGGAGCATCAAAGTGGAAAAGATTTGTACGACTCCTGCTGTGGTAGGCAACTGCACAAGCCCTTTCATAAATTGTTCAAGCTCCATTTTAGAGTTAGTTAGTATTTGGTCCTGCTTTTAATGGAAGGTAGGAGAAAGTCAAAAAGAGAAAGAAAGACTCAACATGGCAGAGAAAAGAAGAGAAAGGAATAAACTCCTTTTACATATTATGATACCTGTTTTAATGCCTTTGCCTTCTCAGTCCATGCTCTGTATGTTGCTCTTGACAGTTAATCAAAATCAAGCAACAAATGTGTTAATCTTTTGTGTTTATTTAGCCATACAGTCCAAGGTGGCGACCCACCACCTTGGGTAGCATTACTGAGATGGTTTTTTTTACATTACATGTTCAAGTATTTTATGTTACCTTCCTGTTATTTTCACAAAAAACAGCCTCTCCTCCATCTGTTTAAGAAAAAAAAACCCAAATGAGCTGCAAAAGTATGTCCCTGCTTTCAAACAAGAAGTGAAATTTTAGTGTGAATAAACATGCCATCATAATCAAAGACGTGTTTGTGATCTAACTGGATAATAATTCACTTGTAATATCATCAGCTCAGAATGAACATCAGCATAAGTATTGTTGGTGCAGGTGTAACTTAATGAATTCAGGCTCATTTTATCTAGCACTTAGTTGCTTAGTTGTGTTGGGAGCATTAGGTCCCCCAATTTTTCATAACGAGCAACACCATTAAACTGTCACAGAGCAACATAAATCAGAGATTTTCCTTAGACCCCATAAAACAACTAACAAAAACGTTATGGTTGCCAGAATCACTGTGTGCTTTTATACATCCAGCAAACAGAACTGGTTATAACCCTTTTTCTCTGGCTACTATTTTTGCTCTTGTTTCAATAGTGTATGAAAATCTATGTGGAAATGTAAGTCGGCTAGCCTGAAGAACTCACTGTCAAAGGCATAGAAGTGATAGCAGGCTCCTAAACACAGCACAGGATCTCTGCTTATATTTTTCTCTGCTGCACTGGACACATATTTTAGTCAAGTTAAATACACAAACAATGAGGTCAGAAGAAAGTGTGTGATTGCAGAGTCGTGTCATGAGCCTGTTTGGAACGTCTTGGGTTGTATGATTGCATGTAATTGATAATCACATGTGGACATGCCTCAAATGCTCACCTCTTGATTTAACCTATTGACACAAGTCTGTATTAAGTCACTGAAGACTGAAAAGCAAGAGATTAAATACTAGGAAAAAGTATCCATTGGTGTTTTTCAGAAGGTGATGTTATTGTTCATTGTTCATTATCAGAGGAAAAATTATTTTCATTGTTCATTTAATTTGTGTCACAATACAATTTATAATAATATGTGTAAAAATATTTCATAACTTGTACCTTGCAGTTGAATTTCCCATCTTTCACTTACTAAAGAACCACCTAATGCTAATTTGACACCCTTCAATGACAGAATATTATGTTACGCAGCTCTCTTTCCTCTTACCATTGTGAGAATAAACTTTGCCTGACCTGCCACAGAAAACTGAGAGAAATCCATCTGTTTCAAAAGTGACAAATTACACACTGCTCTTCATGCTTCATACATGAATATGTTTTTTCAGCCCTCTGTAGAAACTTTTAAAATGCTCATTATTGGCAAAAGCGGGATAAATTCAGCCATTATTCCATAGGTGCAAACAATTAAAATAATGTAATTTGCTCACAGTGACATCACACCAGGCTGATGCAATACATCTGAAAAATAATTACCTTCATATCAGGTATTTGTTGTCATTTGCTAGCCAGCTATAGGATCTGAAGAATAGGATGAATGCTTCAAGCCAGTTTTAATCAAATGGCTGTCAGAAAATGCCCAAAACAGAAATCTTCACTGCTTTTATAAACACTTT